TTCTTTGTCAGAGGCATCAGCAACCTCTTTCCATTTATGTTTCTTGTGTTTGTGCCTGTGTTTATGTTTTTTGTCTTTATCTTCTTCTGAAGAATGTTTGTGTTTCTTGTGTTTACTTCGGTGTTTGTGTTTCTTTTTTTTGTGTCGGCTGTGCTTGTTCTGTGGTTGGTCTGCCTCTGATACTTCCCCATTTTCTTCATTTACACTTTTCTCGGATGCATCAGCATCCTCAACCCTGCAAAAAATAAAAAACCACAGATCAGTACTATCAACTCACTGCAGTCCTTAATCCTGTGTTTAAGCTTACAGTCTTTTTTATGATAGAAACTAAGTGGCATTTAATTACCTACCTTTGGGAGAACTGAAAGTGTACAATTAATGTAACTAAACTGTAACAGCAGATACACTTCTTCATGAACAGACAGCTATGACTGCAAAAAAGAAACACTACAGAAGGTAGGTACAGCAAACACACTAACAAACCATGTATGTGTGTGTGAAATCAATGCTTATGCTTTTAGGTTCAATACTATGATACCTGTTAACAGTATAGAACAGTGCTGTATATTTAGGCATGTCAGTTTATCATCTCTTTGCTGCTCCACTCTGATGCCTAACCCAAGCTACACCTTTTAAAAGTGTTTTCAAATGGCAGAACACAAGTTGTGCTCAAAAGATCAACACTTATTTCAAGGGATGATGCTGACCACCTAATGAAACGTTCTTGCAAAACCTCATAGTTGACCAGTTCTCTTAACTGCAATTTCTTTCTCTAAGTGTACATATATACTAAAAAAAATAACAAAACAACCCAAACTCAAGAACTGTTCTTACTGTGCACTTGTATTATTTATGCAATATGAGAAACAGGATAAATTAAAGAAGTCTAAATTCAGAAAAAGCCTTCCGATAGTACAGTGAAGACTATCAGCTTCCCCTCCCCGCCCAAAACCAAAAAAAAATCTATAAGCTTTAGACCTGTAAAATGGCATTGGCCAAAAAGGCTGAAAACAGGTTTATAGCAGGTTATTAAAGTAACAATAACATAAGTGGTTTTTCTAAAATAAACAAATCAGTTTGCTAGTCACAGCAACAAGCGAATTAAGTAGTGGGTGTACTTAAAAACTTTAAAAAATTATCAAATTGAGTCTTGATCTTATGCATTCACGTCTACTATCCTTAGATGCTGAAACTGGCTTACCAGTCATTTTTTTTACACTGTTTAGCAAATAGCTACTGATCTCCTTCAGAATATCAATTAAGTTACTATTTGTGGTAAGACAAGACTTTTGCCTTTTGAAATCTGTGACCAAATATTATAGGTGCCTGAGTTCACTTTTCTACAAACTCACTCCATTTAAACTACAGATTTTAAGTTTACTAACTAACACTTTAATAACTTAAATATAGCCCTTTCAGTATCCAAAGCCTTATTCCTTGAAAAGAAATCCCTAACATGATGGTCAGGAGAGGTGCAGGGATGTACAAAGAAATGTAGAAATATCTTCCAAACTTTACTAGTTTCATACAACAAATGTTTATGAAGAATACAATCAATGATCGAATTCATGTATCACAGGTATTCTAAGCCAGGCCTAAAGAATGGCACTTATAAATGCAATTAATGTCTTCCTAACTAAGGCTAGGATAGTCAAACAGTGCACTATTGCAGATTCTCTCCTGCTAGAGTTAATGCAAATTCCAGTACTAGTAAATAATCCAGACTTCTGCAGCATACACTAAAATTATTTGCTAAAACCATTAACACTTTAATGCTCCAAAACGAGCAACTTCCAAAGGGAACAGGCAGCTTGAGCTATAAATATGCAATATTTACAGACTTAAGTCAGAATGCTGTATACTTTTTTATATCTTTAACGCTACTTCTACTTACTCATAACATTTAGGAAAAACGGTGTTTTTCTTAATTGCTTCCTTCTGACACTCCACACCATTATGACAACAGAATACCAGAAAGAAGAAAAATTGCCTTAAAGTAAGTTTGCTCTATGTTACATTTTGTACAAAATATAGGAAAAATAAAGAACAAGTATTAAATGCACAACTTTTTCAACCTGGATTTGCAATCCAGAGCAAGTATGTCAGTGACATAAGTTTTCTAAAGGGCAGAAAAACAACACAAGGAAACTTTAAGGAAACTATACATCTTTCAAGATTTTTTTTTTTTGTTAGATAAAGGATGCTGTGTAAGTCCCAGAGTATCAAACTGATGGTACTTCAACATTATGAAAACATTACAGAACAACAAAAATCACATCTGTTCAAGCCACTCCTGTTAAGTCTTCCTTATTTTAACAGCAGAAAGCATTACTGAAGGAAGTTTATTGTTGTATGTATTTTAATGCTATGTAATAATCCTGCCTTGTATTCTGTAAAAGCAAGTTGGCAGTGGAGACGCCAGACGAGGTGCACCACCACAGCCACTACAGACAGCTGCCATCTTTTTTTTGCATTTGTACCTCAACTATAAAATTGCTATTAACTTCATTAACACACATGAAATAGCCCATCGTCACATGCATGAATGGATTTGAGTAATTCCATCAGAACATGGATAAATTTTTGTTTCATTTCAGTGCTTCACAGGCATAATGACATGAAGGAGAATCCTTTTAAAGATTTCAGAGGGTGATGAGGTCATTAACATGTTTAGGTGCTAAGGGCTTTAAACAGAGGAATTACGGCATAAACTGTCCCACTTTATTTTTTAATTTAAATAGAATGATAGGAAGTTCAGGAAGATTGTCAAAGAGATTTCACCCATCTTTTCCTACATCCAGACATCATCAGTTAGTACTTTCTTACTCTCAGTTACATTTCCCTATGTAACACTAAACTTTGTTCGTCGCGTGCTCACGTGTTTTATATGGTTCGCATGCACTTGTACTGCTTTTCCTCACCTGTTTTTCACACCCACGATTAAGAAATAAAAAAGAAACCTCAAATAGCAACTTTTCAAAGCAGAAAAAAACACAGCAGGTTATATGGCTGAAATATTTGTATAGCGAAGAGAAGCAATAAAGCACTAGGTTGTCAACTCCGGGCAAAAGTTTCAGAGGAGAAAGTGTTAGTGAGCTTGTGAATGCCGACAAACCTAAATCTCCGGGCTGCCAGGCAAACGCAGCCCCGGAGCCCCGGTACGAAGGGGAGGCGGCTACTCGATTTTCGCTTCCCAACGGCAGCCGGGAGTTGCCAGTCATTTCGAGGGCTGGAAGGAGGGGCCGGCGGCAACAAATCGGTTTTTGCTTCCACCACCACAGGCACTGTTCATAACGCGAGAGCGCCCGGGACCCGGGGGAGGTGGGCTCACCGAGGGGCGGGCAGCGGCTCAGCGGCGGGCGGAAGGGCAACCCCGGCCGCAGCACCCGCTGTCCCGAATTCCCGTCCCGCTCCTTCAGCGGGAGGCCTCGTTCACATAACGAGCGGTGGGGCGAAGGGGAACTCCGGGGAGCGGCAGCCCAGCTTCGCCTCTGGGATGCCCGAACCCTGCGCGCCGCCGGGCACCCGCCGGCCCGCGGCCTCGCATCCACGCGGAGGGAGGGCTCGCCCGCCCCGCTTTCCCAGGGAGAGGAGGGGCGGGAGGGGCGGGAGGAGCGGGGACCGAAGCGAGTACCGCCGCAGCCCCTCACCTCTCCCCCCCACCCCTCGCTGAGGCGGGAAGGCGCACGCGGGGCGGAGGACACGCGCCAGCAGGTCCTGGCTCCGCTTCCCCTCCCCCATGCCCCCAGCGGGCCAGCTTGTGCGCGCCCGGCGCGCGGCCTCTGGAGCGCTTCCCGGTCCTCCCTCCAACACACCCCAGGCCCCAGCCGGCGGAAGGCGGCTCCTGCGTCCCGGGCCTGCCGGGCCGCCCGCCGCGGGGAGAGCGGCCCCCAGAGCAGCCCCTCTTCCCCAGAGCAGTCACTGCCCCCATCTCCCTCCTCCTGCCTTCACCACCTCCACCTGGGCCGCTCCTCGTCCTCCTCCCCACACTCCCCTCGCCTGCACTTCTCCCTCCGCCTCCCTAACGCGCCATTGCAAGGAGACTCCCAACCGATCTCTTACTCGGGCGGTCGCTGCTCGGGCTCCGCCGCGGCGGCCATTTTGAACTTCCAAACTCCTTCGCTGCCGCTGGGAAGACGCGGGGCCGTGGCGCAAGCGCACAGAGGCGCCGCGGTGGGTGGGGGCGTGCGGACTGAAGTGGTGGTACAGCCGGCCGCCGGAAGTGAACTGAGCGCTCTGCGTAGCGAGCGGGCCGGAAGCTCCGCCCCCAGGGCGGTGCTCTGCGCGCGGCGGGAGCAGCCTGGAGGTGATGGCGGAGGTGAGGAGGCGAGATAGTTGTGGCCGGTGTTTGGCTGCGACACCCGCGTTTGTGATGGCGTTTCCTCAGGGAGCTTCGCTGGGAGAGGGGTGCTGCTCAGGTTCGGAGAGGGTCTGGCGATGGAAGGGGCCGCAGCCCAGGGCGGGCTCTCCAGAGGCAGCTGGCGCGCCTTGTGAGGAGGTTGTTCCGCTTGATCTGTTTTCGTAGATTCCTGACTGTACCGGGCTGCACGGGAAGGGCCGGCGGGGTGCTGGGCGGTACCTGGGGTGTGCTGTGGCGTGGTGGATGAGTTGGAGGCCTCCGGGTGTCAGCGGCGCAGGTCTCTCACCAGTGTGTTCTGCTTTGAGGTTAACACAGCCCGCCTGTTGACAGCAAGTGTTATAAACTAAACATGCAAATGCCGTGGTACTGTTAACCTGTAGTTCATTTTTAAATTCGACAGATGACTTGGGTAATCATTTGTGGCATCATTTTGTTGATGATCAAACCCCTCACTTCTTTCAGGTAGTCTTAAAATCTGCACATATTGCTTGGACTGGAATCTGAATCTAGATTTTATAGAGACCTAGAGTTCTTAATAATTTATGAAGTGGATTTTAACTGCTTTGTTTATTGTTATTTGTAGATTTATCTACCACTAACTATGGAGTATAATTTAAATATGAATATTGACATTTCTGAGGAAATCTCACCATCCCAATTGTATGCTACTGTGCTTTAGGGTTTTGAAGCCCAGATTGCCAGCCTGGTGAAGATGTTTCTGTTGGAGGTATATAGGTATAAGCTCTGCCAGTTCACAAGTGCCATCAAAAATACAGTCAGGACATACCTGGCTTATAAGTTTGAAACTGATAATAGCATCAAATTCTAAGCTGTCCTAAAATTGACCAAAATGAAAATGAACCGTATAGGAATGGAGACGAAGCTAACCAAGAAAATAAGAAAAATGAAGAAGCTTTTGCAAGAAATATCTCTTATTGCCTGTGTATCAGATGCTTCAAAATGAGTCCTCACTGTTGTGACATGAGCCCAAGTGGTCAGAGCAGTAACTCTTATGCTTCTCACTTTTGTGAACACCTTGTTTGGAGCAGCAGCACTTTATTTGCAGCTTGAGGAGCCCTATTCTGCACTGGCAACTGCTATTTTAGATGCCCAGTCTGTGCATCTTCGGCATCTGTTGTGTTTCTGGTGTTACAACTTGAACCTTAGCTGGGGAGATAAAAACCTCTAAAGCTGAAGCAAGGTGTAAAAATGTCAAAAATCAGAAGAAAGCTGGATGTGACAATAAAGGGGTATCTCTTTCTGTGAAAGATGTTTGAGCTTTAAAGTTGGGTTCTGAAAGAAGGCAGCATTTCTACAGTGTGCAACGTAGCACTGAAGTCAAAAGATGCTCAGAAAAATCCATGAAAATGTCCATGGTGTTGATTGTGGCTTTAAGTGCATTTATTGTTGCATGGCTGAGTGGGGCTTAATGAAGAATCATTTCAAGTCACAGAAGGGATATAAGAAACCTGAGTGCCTCATCAGTGAAAGTGTCCTTATGTCACAGAGTGCCTGGAAAGTGCACAGAAACAGACAGCAGAGAAAGCCTCATCTCTTCAGGCGCACAATATGTTCATCATCTTTTGAAACCGAGCAGGTAAGAAAGCCTTATGTAGTTTGCCTTTATCAGGATGTGTTTAAATGTCTGTACAGTGATTTTACCAGTAAGTCAAATTTTATTCTCATACAGTTGCCTCAGCTACATATGTGTCTGTGCGCTTACCTTTATTTGCTCAGTGCAAATACTAGAGAGTTTCAGCATGAGTTGTAAATGCTGTCAGTTAAGTATCTTCATACTGGTTTAAACAAAGAAAACATGAGAATGAGCAACACTTACTAGAATTTTTGCCATTTTTTGGTGATGTTAGTTCTGTAAAATCGTGTCTCATTTTATATTGAAGATTCTGACTATTTCTAGGAGTAGTTGACCATCATATTCTAATAATTTCAATATTATTAGCTTTTTAATGGCTCTGTAACATTACTGTGAAGGTACTTCTATCACAGTTAATGCTTTTTATCTCTTTAAGTTTTGTGACACTGCTAATAGCAAAATACTGCCTCCATTTATAAATGGGGGTCCTTGGCAAAGTGACAAAATCTGCGTCTCTCAGATTACAAAAGGACATAATTCCAGTGCTGTTCTCCTTTGCATTGACTACAAATACTGGGTTTGTACCACTTATACTTTATTTAAGCAAGGAGGAAACACCATTAAAATGTTTCTCATACTGGTTGCAACTATTTTGTCTTTGGTAAAGGCACGCATTTACTGCTTACCTTTAAGACTGGTTAAAATTTTGACAGATGTGTGTACAAAGGGTAGCCTGGGCATTTTTCTGTTGAATCAGTCAGTTTTTTAGGTGACTGCAGTGACTGATTGATTTTGGTAAGTTTTCTGTGGTTGCTGCTGCTCATACAGACCAATCTTGTTTTCTGGGCTGAACTATTGGTTCGATTCCTATTGCTCAGTAAAGCCGGTGCAAAGCCAGGCGATTTATGTGAAATAAGATGATGGCTCGCGGGATCACTCTGGAGTTTGTGGCAGAGCTCAGATAAGAAAACAGGCAATGTTAGGAGTGTTAGGAATGTGGAATTACAGGGCTTCCTGTGATTGTAGCCAGGCTGGGCATTGCATCTGTGTTGCAGTGTAGGTTTTGAAGGGTTAGGGTTAGATTGTACTGTGCAGTCTAATTTTAAAGTCTTTGGGATAGGTGGGGTTCTGAGCTTTTACTGTTCAAAAGGGCAGGAAATAAAATTTTCATAGGTTATTGCAGAAATTCTGCAGGGAAAGGAACTAAAGAAAGGGTCAGTTTTAGAACAACCACATACAGTTTCTCCGCTTCATTGCATACGACTGTAAGCTGGCAACAAGGCTGTAGTCCAGTCTTAACTTTTTCACTAAGAGGTTGGGAAGCAGAGCACATAAAAAGACAGCTGAAATTCACACTGTTTCAAAATAGAGATGACCACAACAGTGAAAAAGGTTTATGAATGCGTATACAAACAACGTTTTCTTAAGTGAAAGGGGGTCATTGTACATACAATTGTACATACAATTTGTATTGGCAAATTGTAACTGGTGTCTGGAATGAATAATTTTTTTCCTTTTTTGGGGGGGGTGGGGGAGATCAAGACTCTTATTTCCCTTATAACTGTAGTGAGAAAGCAATCTGGGATGAGGTTTTCTGGGATCCTCTTTTGATAATTTTCATGTCTGGGTACAGTGAATTTTTGAAGATTATAATTTATTGGTAACTGTTAGGTTAACACATTCAGAAAGGTTGCTTAATTTTAGCTTCCTATTGAAAAATATAGTAGGTTAAATACTTAATAGCTTTTTAAACTATTGGTAGTATGATGGAAGTGTGAATGTTTTATATTTGTTTTTAATATTTGCATGTTCGCAATAAATGTGAGCAAAGGAAGCCCTTCTAAATGTCTGTTTAACATTGTGTTAATTTCTATGCGTTTCTGACGTGGAGAAGAAACATGAAAGAAATTGGACAGTCTTCAGCTTGCTGGTATTTTTCAGGTACTTTATTCCCTTAAAGGGTGTTTTACCATAGCATTACAAAGAACTGTTGTCTGCCAATTTATTATGCTTTTGAAGCTGATACAATGGGTATGGGAGCCTTCCTGCTTGCTATGGGAATAATTTTGGAAATAAGTTTTAACTGCATATTCCTTAGCACCAAGCTTGTGTTTAATTTAGTTTCAAGTTTTAGCTGTAATTGCTAACATTATTTGCTACAGTGTGCTTTATAACTTTGAACCTACATGAAAACCTAACCTGGTCAGTGTGAAAAAATGTGCAAATTGCTCAAATACTTTGGAGTATATTGAAGTTTCATCTTTATTTCTTATGTAGGACAAAGATATTGATCTGTCATGCTGAGAGATTCTTGTATGCAGTTATGCAATGTTATCTGTTGTTTACTTGTATAAATTAAAGCAGTTGTTGATATTTGTGTAGACTGTATAGTGACTATTTACCATCTGCATCAGGGATAAAGAGGCAAAAGGTCTGAAAGACTGATCATTCTGCCTGTCATTATTTTTGGTCTTTGAATCTTAAACCTTAAAGAGCAGTCCAGAAGTTGCTATAAAGTGAGTTTATATTAAAACCTTTACAGGAAAGGGATAGCGGTCTTCATTTCCATTAAACAGAAATCCTTTATGCAAAACCTCAACCTGCAGCCAGTACTTTCTCCAGACCAAATTTACACAGATTTGCTGTCTAATTTATGAGATGTACTTAGAAGAAAATGTACAACTAAAGGGTATTGCATCTCACCAGTAAATCCTTTAAAGCTTGGGTATTTTGATGTGTTCCAATTGTCCTTTCAATATTCTTCATAGGCTCTATAATTCATGTCAAAATAATTCCACTGCAAGTATGTATTTTGTGAGCTCATTTTAAATTCTGGTTTGAAATCTTTGAGAACCGCTCGTTATCCTTTTTGTTATTGTGCTGTTTTAACACTGCAGGACCTGAGCTAACCCTGCTTTTGGTCAAACTGAGTCTTCAATTAATAGTTGCTCTTTTTTCTGAAATACTGTGTATTTCAGCCAAACACAGCCTCATATTACTTAAATAAGCACAAAAGACTTTAAAACTACACAGGAGTTAAGTTTGAACATTAGTAATTGTTTAAAATGTATAAATGTCTTGGTCTTAATGGATTTAATTTGTTTTTAACCTGTTATATCAAACTCTGTGACTTTTTATACAGCTAAGGAATGAATCAAGGTCTACAGGCGTCTCTTCAGCCATGGTTAAAATTTCAAACTGTATCCATGCACTGTATGTGAGAGATGAGATGTTTTTTTCAAATAGAGGTGTATTTTTGGCTGTTATTTTGGGTTGTTTTGGGGGGGGGGATTTTTTTGTTATTCCCCTTCCTCCTTCAATAGGTGTTGGCATTTTGGTTTGGTTGTTTGGTTGGTTGTTTTTTTTGTTGGTTTTTTTTTTTTTTGGTTGTTGTTGTGGTTTTTTTTTAACTGCTTAGTTTATGAAGTATAAAAAATGCTTTGTAAATGCTAAAAGCATGTACAAGACTTCTGATTAAACATTTTGCTTCTGTCTGCTTTTATCAAGCAAAGGTGAATTTCCCAGTGCTAAATATTTGGGTAATGCAAGTCTATGTACTGGTAAATTTGTTTTAATTCGTGGAAGAAGGCTTTAAAATTTATTAAGCTAGAGTAAAACTGTGTTTTGAAGGAGGAGAAGAGGATTAGGGACTTAAAGTTTGCTTGAAGGCACTAAACAAGAATCCGTATACTCAAAGGCTAATGGTGGCAGTGAGATGTAGCAGCTTCATTGAGCTGGCAGCTCAGCAGCTATTAACTAGGTAGAGAAGACAGCAAGGACATTTCGTGCTGGAAATCTAGATGCATGACAGCATGCTTGGGGCTTGGATTCTTTTTATGTTTATTTGAGTTTCTGATGGACTTACTTTGGCAACTGATAATTGCTTGGTTGGATAACAAGTTGCTTGGTAGTTTAAGAAGTAATTCGTCTTTGTTGAGCTAGTAGCAGCAAGTTTATTTTCCTTCACCAGTCTTGCGCCATCTTACCCAATGACAGCTTTATTTTTATCTGCTATAGCAGAGATTCTTGCTTCTTACAAGGAAGACCCTCTTGTTACCTCACACATCTATTGTTTTTTTTGTTATTAAACTACTGGGCCCTTCACTTGGAAGGAGGAGGGAGGAATACTGTACTGCATAAAATGTTAAACTGAAGGATGCTTCTTGTCTGAAACTCTTCTGACTTTAGCTTTATGTCAGTGTTACTGGAATAACACCTGAAGTGTGATACTCTGAATGATAGCAAGCCAGGTTCAATCTACAACTTAGATCTTTTTTGACCAAGATTTTGGTTTCTTTCTGATTCCTTTGTGAACATTTAATAATGTCAAAAATGCACGTTGCAGTTCATGCTGTTAGCAGTCCCAATTCCTCTGACCTTGACCTACAAAGTCCTAGACTTGTGGTTAGAGCAGAGCTATGTGGAGGGACTTGTCTCTGCATCTCTGATTTCTATCTGCTGTCTTCAGTTAATCTCACTAACTGAAGGAGGCTGAATATCACAGGGAAGTATGTAGCAGCCTATCAATATATTTACTTTAGTTCCACCACATAAGCAATACTTAGGCTAACTTAAAAATTTAGGCTAACTTAAATACTTCTAGAATCCTAAAGCAACTTTCAAGGGACCTTATCCAGCTTTGTATCTTGCAGAGTGAACAAAAGGAGGGGAGCTGTGCATTTTTATACCATCAAATTTGATTTTTTGCAACTTATCTTTTAATAGTGGTAGAGACTATATGTCTCTAGCAGCAGTTCTACTTTATGCTGATACATGCTTTCCCTAAGACTTGTTAAAGGAGACCCCTTCTTCTGGAAACAGAAATTAAATGAATTCATGACATACACCTGCATTTCTCATGCTTCCTTTATGTTTTAACAGCTTACTTCATATTTAGTGTTATAAAACCATACTGCCTTTTTTTTTCAGTAACCTAGATGCTCTCTTTGTTACCAGTGTTGTTTGTTTAAATATGCAATTTTCACTTGCTCTTCTGTCTTGCTTTTCTGTTTTTGTTTAAACAGCAGTTTCTCATGTTTCTTTGCCCCCAACTGATGCTTGTTTAAGAACAGATCAAGCAAAATGGTTCAACCAATTTTCTAGAATGCATATGGGGGAAAACTTCCTGTTCATAATGTTTTGAATTGGAACTGGTAAGACCATGGATACCTTTTATTTAAGAAGGCATAATAGTCCATGGCTTGCGGGAAAGACCTAGGCATTTTTTGTATGGTGTCTTCTGTTAGAATAGATAAAAGGCACATTCCTGACGCAAAATTCTGTGGAGATTTGGCCTTTTCACAGCCTCCAAAAAATGCAATGAGCAGTGAAGATAACTTACCGCAAAGGAGGTTGTAGTGAGGTGAGTGTTGGTCCCTTCTCCCAAGTAACAAGTGATAGGACAAGAGATAGCAGCCTCAAGCTGCACTAGGAAAGGTTTAGATTGGGTATTAGGAAAAATTTCTTTACAGAGAGAGTAATCAAGTATTGGAACAGGCTGCCCAGGGCAGTGGTGGAATCACTGTCCCTGCTCCCTCAAAAACTGTGTAGATGAGGCCCTTAGTGATATGGTTTAGTGGTGGTCTTGGCAGTCCTGGGGTAATGGTTGGACTTGATGATCTTAAAGGTCTTTTCCAGCCAGCTGATTCTATGATTCTAAGGGAGGCAGGGACAGGAACTAAGAAAACTTGCCAGTTTTCTTTGGTACCTGGCTGCAAAAGTTCTTGATATTTTTTTTTTTTTAAGTTGGATATTGGATACTAAAGATTATTGTGGCTGGAAAACTTGCGAGAAGTTGCTGGAGGACATGATGAGGAGATGAACTCGAGCAGCATTCGGCATGGTAAGAAAAATGCTAGTGGACAGGCCATAGTCAGCAGTGAAGAAAATAGTGAGGAGTCTGAGAGAATTAAAATGACTTGGGCAAAAGGGTGGCCTGAAGTGGACAAAAAGGATCTAGAGCCTCAGGCACGTGAACCAGAATTAAAATAATAGGGTACACAATAACTTCTATGTACTATTAGTGTCATTATTCAAATGGGAATTAATTCAAGCATCAGAGGTTTCTGCAAAGGTTTCAGCAATGCCAGTTACCCCAAATATAATTCCCCATTATGAAATCTGGAAAGCATGTTTTAGCTTCTTACGTACTTTGTTTCAAAAAAAATGAAGCCTAAAACATGTTAAAAACCCCCAACCAAACAAAGAGAAAACCCAACAAACCAAACACCCACAGAAATTCACGATAACTCGCAGTAAAGGATGCAAAGTCACTCAGCGTCTGTGTGGGCAGGTACACTTGCAAAATCTTCAGTTGCTTAACTTGACTATATGCATATTTTATCCCCCACATGATCCTTGTAAAATTCAGTGTGTAGAATGGGTAGTGCTTCATTAGTCTTGGTTTATTGTTTAGCGAGCATAGAGTATATACACAAAACCCAATGAAATAAAATTTACCAAGGCAACTTTAATTTTGGGAATTACTAATTTTTATGTCTTGCCTTAGCAACCTTAATGAGCTGGAATTTTGTTTTGTTTTTTAATATAGGATTTATTTTGTGTTGTGAGAAATATATTGGGGATCTACATTAACATACTAAAATAGATTGCCGAAAATGCCATTATTGTACAGCAGTCTGTGCTGTATGCTTTTAGTGGCTAGGCTGTGAGACCATACAATACATTGGTATATGTAAGTTCATGTATTTCTTCTTTAGGTCCTGTGACATCTAGACCCACTGGCTTCAGCTCCATTGTGAGATCCTAACATACATTGTGTTGGTGGTGACTTATTGACCACTGAACCACGCTGGAGAAGCTGGTGTACACTGTATAGAGGGTTAGGTAAGTATTTGTTTATTCACAATGCTATCTTGAATGTACCATCTCAAAAAAACAACAAGATGCTTAGGTTTGCGTTTTTTGGTTTTTTTAATCTGTAAATGGTCATAAAATTGGCAGTTATCCTCCCTTTTCCCCCAGTCACTGGAGGCTCCATAAGCCAGCAGCATTTGTAATCTTGATGCTGTGCCATCTTATTAAAAAGAATTGGCAATTTAATAAATCAGGCTTGATGGCTCTGGGTAAAGAAAAAAATCTTTATTTTTTTCTTCTTTTAAATGACAGTGTGCTGAAACATTTTACATTACCAAGTTCTTGTGGGGAGCATTTGATACATACTGCTTAATTTCATAAATTTTACAAGTGATCCTCAGAGTTGGTGCAACTGTTTTGTGATCAATTCATTTATATAACAATTAACATCAGCTTTGGGGAATGTGGAGTGGAAAAGAGGGTTCTTGGTGCTTTGTTGCTGAAATAATTACCTCATAAAAAAGCAGTAATATCCAAACTCTGTCAGGACCAAAAAGTCTGAGTCAAGTTAAGTGATTCCGGGCAAATGATATTTTCAATAGATGGAGGATTCTACTTACTCTGGCAGAGATGCTAGCTATCTTCTCAGTCATCTAATGGTCTTATTTAATTTTTCCTAATCTTACCAGACATGCTATATATTTAAATGTGTATGCAGCACTGTGGGTTTTTTTAAGCTCATATTTTACATTGGAAATGGTTGTCATTTATTGATATTAGTCTTAACAATGTAATTAGAATCTTACACTATTTTTACAACAGAATGAGAAAGGAATCTTATTAGGTCAGGAATATCCAAATATTAAAAATTAATCAATTCCTTGAAACGTAATAGCTATATTATGCAAATATGTTGCTTGATCTTCATCTACATGTATGATGGTCATAGGAAGCTCATAAAACTTAGAAAAGACAACTATTTAAAATGTGGATTGTTTTTTTTATGATAAAATCATTGTAACCTGATGAAACCAGTGGGTTCAGGGCAAATGAGATACCTGAAAATCATATTTCTCCTTCCTGCTTTGTGGCTTTTAAGAAACAGGGATATTCATTGTGGCAGCAAGTGTGTCAAACACAGGAGCAATTTTCCAAGTGCTGCCATTTTTATCATTATAATCTGTGCTTATTTAATTTTGTTTTTCTTTGTGCTGGGCATCACTGGGGCAATTTTATAACGAAAGTGTGCATCCAAGAATGATAATCTGTTCTAGGGTGTGTGTGAATGGCAGCTAAGCATTGCAGTATGTAATATACCTGTTCATTGTATTTACATGTCCCAAATTAAAATAGAGCAGTTCTTTCTTTAACACTACCTGTATGTAACAATTTGGATCTAATTCTGCACTGTAGTTGTAAAAACCAAAGCTAAACCACACAACCAAACCCAACCAAAACAAGCTCCAACCTAAATAAATGGCTTGTCTAGCTCTTTTGAGAAGCTGTTGTTTTGCCCTTAGTGTGTGTTTCACATACATAACATGGGATGATCAACAAGGTTTTTTTTCCTCTATTAGTGGACTGAATTATACGGGTTATGCTATTTCGAAAGCCCCTCTACAACTCTGCCTTTCACCTGAAAGTATCTTATCTCAAATTCTGAAGTCTTTCAGTCACTGATGGCAATGTAAAATACTGGTCAATACAGTATTTTGGATTTCTTTTTGAATGAATTTCTTTCTTAATTGGCCATCAAGAGAAGACTTGAAAGAGCATATGGAAAATTGCTAAATTCTACAGCCTTTCTGTCTTCCTTTTGGGATCAAGTATTCAAAACCAGATGTCAGATGAGTGGACATCACAAATAAATCCATCAGAAAAAAACCTCAACAAAAAAATGAAAGAGAGGAAAGAAGGCTGAAGATAATTCTGTGTGCTTCAACACAAAAGCAACTAGAAGGATTTTGGTTAATGTACATGCATTGCCTACAGTAGGGTACAACCTGTACGTGGCAAAACTTGCCATTTTGCTTGTTATGCTCCAAGTACCTCCATAGCTGTTCATTGCAGAGCAATTGATAATGTGGTACATGTATATTTATTACTTATTTTCTACTAGAAAGCTGCCCACAGATAGCCTGAACAAAAATGAGTTTCCCTATTCAAAGAGGTGTCGTCTTGGTTTGTGAGAGTTACAGACTTTTGAATAAACTAAGCTGATCAAAAGGTGCTTCTAAAGGCTTTCTCTTAAGTTTTGTTATAAGCAATGATAAAGGAGAGCCACTGAGATGTGCTCTTTGAAGAGCCAAGAGGTGCGCTGTGAGGCTTCTTGAAATTCTATATGTAAACTAGATGAAAAAAATGTGACAGGGTACAGCTTCCTTTGCACTTGTGGCTGCATTTATAAGAGCACCAATCTTACCAGTTAATGCAAAATTCTACTTATATGTAGATGTAAGAGTTAATACTAAGACTTTGTCTGACCTCAAGTGCATCCTTTCTGACTTTTACAGTTGTGTATTATAATTAATTAATTCAAATTGTCAAAGTTTTTTTCCCCAAGTATCTTCTTTACCCTGCTGTTTTCTAAGACTGAAGTAATTGTCTGTATTGAATCTAGATTTCCTGGTTTGTAGTTGTAATTGCTCATGTAGAAAGAAGTAAATACATGTTTTAGTAGCTTGCTGAAATTGCTGTAATAAGTTAAAAAGAAGGATAGTCAAAGGCCTGATCACTGATAAGTGAACTAGCAGCTTGGCAAGTAAGTGGGGAGTAGACCGACATGCTGATGGTGCACGTAGGCAGGTGGTTTTTGTTTTGTATTAAATTAAGTAGTCAGTTAACAAGCCTTGTCATAGTCAAAGCACAGTTCAGTCATTACAAATTCACAAAGCAGGTAGACAAGTTGCTTCCATGTTCACAGTGAGGTATTCTGAAATAACTTGTCTCAGTTTTAAAGAAGTTGAAGAACAAGGTTAAGCATTTTGCATCTTTTTATCATTACAACAGTTATTTTCAAACCAATGGAGTGTGGTGATCCAATTTTAGTCTGAGGTTATATATGAAATGTGTCATTATCTGATGAACGTGTTACCTCTGTGTTTCAGAAGCGTTTGTGGACTAGTTCTCTGGGAGCTCTCCCTGGAATGATGCTTGTAAATTACTGCAAAGATTAAAAACTTACTTCAGCTTTTCGTACCTAGTTCTGACCTGAGTTCTGCTGTGCTGTCTGTACAGCAAAGCAAACCTCATGTTAACATTGTTTCTTTTTTTATAGCCCCTTCAAAGGGCAAACTAATGAAAGCATTTAGCCATAATACCATCCTGTGGCTTTTATTTCTTCCTACTAAAGGTCCGGACCCTGTGGCAGAACAGAATCTGCTGCAAACTGTAGCCAGTTCAGTGTTGTGTCCTACAGCTTAGGTTAATAGCTGATGGCAGAACAGCATGAAGAGAATGTTGCTGTGTTGACTCTGAGTGCAGTCTGTGCTCCTATACAGGACTCCAGAATGCCAAAGTAAGAAGCCTCAGTTTATTTCCCCCAGAAATGTCTCCAATTATGCCTACATTAACATACTCATTTGGGAAATATATTTTAAAGTCTATTGGTACTCTAAAATTAAAACTTAAAAAAAAATACCTTTAAACAGAAAAAGATCTGCTGTCACAAGGTTGAGTTAATCAGAGAAGTGTAGGTAATGGTACTCGGGGAACAATTTCTTGGCTGTCTTGTGAAGCTTTCACTGTTTGCTTTGGCTTTCCCCAGGAGAGGGCAGCAAATGAACAACGTCGCACTGGCTTTTACTTTTCAAATGCCTTTTCAGTGTTCCTCTTTGATTATAACCCGCAGCGTACTGATCTTAAAAGTTTAAAATGAAGATTTCTACTTAATTTGTTTGCTGCAAGGGTAGCTGGAATGTATGGATTGGAAGTCTTCATCATTTTCAGTATTAGGCAGTAGAATTTACTGAGTAAAATCAAGTTCAAGTTTATAAAGAAGGTAGTTCTAAATGAAGGCTTAAGATTTTTATGACTATGGCATTAGGTGTGTATATATTTTAAAGGATAAAATAGCCAAACAATTGGATCCCATGACAATTACTAGTAAATGTCACCCAAGTCTTGCTTAACATCTTTCAAATGTTTATTTTCTATATTTCAATTTAAATTAATATAATCCAATTCAAAATAATGTCATAACCATTTTTGTCCCATCAGAAAATAAAACTGAGAATGCAGTAATTGTAGTGATGGGTTTAATTCACATATAATTAATGCATTAATGTACAAGGATGGCTTGTGTACTCTGCTGACAGTGCATGCACGTTAAAGGCCTCAGTTCACAGAGTAGTAGTAATACTAAACAGTATAACAAATTTTTATTCTTACTTCAGGAACAGAGTGCAGGTTTATAAACTAAAACTTTATGGAGGCATACGGTATTACTGATTGAGAGTATGGGATGTTTTTGTCATAACTGTATTTGAAAATTCTGACAATACGTACTTCTGAATTGTGTGTGGCCATGATTTTGTCAGTTAGAGATCAAGTGTGTTCTGAAAGTGTGTGGCCATGATTTTGTCAGTTAGAGATCAAGTAGTTAGCAAGAAGCGTCAGAGAGAGGGCAGTCTAACCTTTTCATTCACTGAGTTTTAACCAATATGAAGTTCATATAAAGTTCATATAAAGAAGGGAAAATCATAGAGGCATCTATGAATATCAGCTGTCTATAATCAATGTTCAGAAGTGAACTGGGAAGAATGAAGCTGATTCCTGACTAAAGTGATGTATTGATAGTCTTAACCAGTTACTTCATTAAAATCATAAGTGTTACAATGTATATGGGACCTTTATGGAGCCTAAAAGTTGATCAAGAGCATGCAAGACACTTCAGGCTTAACAGGTCATAATTTCCCACTGTCTCAGATGCACCTTATTTATATCTGAAGAATGGAAGGTTAAACTATCAATATTACAAATTCCAGGCTCCTTTGGACTTCTTAACCTTAGAAGATTGAAGCAAGCCTCCT